CCACTGTTGGGCTCCCCCCGCCTGAGTGTGAAAAAACTATCAAGCGGAAGACTCGCCTGTGAGTGGATTGTGCGGAAATCTCAGGCGGGAGCCCCCTCCCTATTGGTCCCGCGCTTCACGTTGGTAATCCGAGCGGGTCGTCGGCAACCTATAACTGTCGTCACGGCTTGGAACTCCCAAACCTGAATTTAAAGGAAATATCAAGCGGGAGCCCCGTCTGTGAGTGAATTGATAAGAAGTCTCAAACGGGAGCCCCCTCCCTATGGGTCCCGCACTTCATGTTGGCAATCCGAGCGGGTCATTGGCAACCTGTAACTGTCGCCACTTTTGGGTTCCTCAGGCCTGAATTTGGAGGAAATATCAAACGGGAGCCTCGTATGTGAGTGAATTGTGAGGAAGTCTCAAGCGGGAACCCCTTCCCCATGGGTCCTGCACTTCGCGTTGGTAATCCGAGCGGTTCATCGGCAGCCTGTATCTGTCACCACGCTTGGGCTCCTCAGGCCTCACTGTGGAGGAAAGTTCTAGCGGGAGCTTCGTATGTAAGTGAATTGTAAGGAAGTCTCAAGCGGGAGCCCCCTCCCTTTGGGTCCCGCACTCCACGTTGGCAATCCGAACGGGTCATCGGCAACCTGTAGCTGTCGCCACGCTGTGGCTCCCCAGGCCCGAACGTGGAGGAAGTATCAGGCGGAAGCCTCGTCCCTCCCTATGGGTCCCACATTTCATGTTGGCAATCCGAACGGGCCATCGGCAACCTGTAATTACTCCGACGGAAGGACCCCGCATGATAATCTGTTTAGATTGCCCTTACCCTTGTCCTCCTCGCCCTGACGGACACTCTCCTCTCGCCCGCCGTTCTGCCCTCACCTACTCCCCCTCCTTCTTATTATCCTCCTCCTCCTTCTCCACTTGCGAGCAGGAATTCACGTGGCAAGGCTCGGGGTCGCACACCGTGCGCCGCTCGCGGTTCACTCTGACTCACGCGTCCTACCTCACTTCCACGCTGTCGCGGGGCCAGACGCTCCGCAAGGGCGTCACCATCGACTGCGCGAGGGACGAGGACGATGGCCGCACGGACATGTCGGACGACCAGCGGTGGCTGCACCTCTACGTCATGCTCTCCCGCGCCACGTGCATACGGAACATGCTGAGCCTGCGGCCGCCCTCGCGCGAGTTTCTGGAGCGCGGGCCGCCGGCGTCCTTGTGGAAGGCGCTCCTGGAATTCGACAAGAGAGCGGAGACACGCCCAGGGATGAGGCCGAGCAGCTCGCCGCAGAGCTTCGGTTCGTGCTGCCTCCCGCCTAAGCGCGGCTGCGCCCCGCTCGAAGCCCGCGGGGTTGTCCCAACGGTTTGGCCCGCGGGGCTGTCCCGACCGCTTGCCCCCGCGCCCCAGCGGCCCGCGGGGTTGTCCCAAAGGCTTCGCGAACCAGCCGTCGGGGGAAGCGCGCGCTCTGGACGCGACGGCGCCGAGGAAAATCGATTTGCTTGCCCCGACCAGGGGGAAGGGGAGGAGCGCGCGGAGAAGAAGCAGGGGAAGGACGAGGACGGGGAAGGGGTAGGGAGGGGGTGATGATGAGGAGGAAGTGGACAGATTATCATGCGGGGTCCTTCCGTCGGAGTATTTATTATTCTTGGTATGCTGATGAGTAGCTGTCTTCTCCGTTTTAGTATTCGTTGTCGTGTTATTCGTCTTAGTCGTATTATTCGTATTCGTATTCTCCTGCTGATTAATATCATTCGTAGTATTCGTAGTATTCGCCTTATTCGTCTTAGTACTAATATGATTAGTATTGGTACCCGTATTATTATTCATATTGGTATTACCCTTGTTAGTATTATGTTCATGATTCCTATTATTATTATTATTATTATTATGGTGCTGCTGCTTCCTCCTCCTCCTCCTCCTTCGCCTTCTCCTCCTCCTCCTCCTCCTCCTCCTCCTCCTCCTCCCCCACCCCCTCCTCCTCCTCCTCTTCCTCCTCCTCTTCCTCCTCTCTTCCTCCTCCTCCTCCTCCTCCTCATCCTCCTCCTCCTCCTCCTCCTCCTCCTCATCCTCCTCATCCTCCTCCTCCTCCTCATCCTCCTCCTCCTCCTCCTCCTCCTCCTCTTCCTCCTCCTCCCCCTTTCCCTTCTTCCCCGGTCGTCGTCTTCGCTGTTTTGCGCAACTCTTCCCCGCTCGTCGTCTTCCCGGTTGATCGCGATGATGCTGCAAATTCTTGCGACACTCTTCCCCTTTCACGCGCTTCCCGCTCATGTCAGGAAAGTTTGTTTTTACAGAGAAAAAAAAACGACCGTGTCGCCTGAGACACCCTCGCCAAATCGTGAAGTTTGGGGTCGTATCTTAAGACGCATGGTGCTAAAATGGGCGGTTCGCCGGAGACATCCTCGGAAAATGGGGGCGTTGAAATCGTCGGTCTAATTCGCGGACCTCTAGAAATGAGCGTTTCGCCTGAAACATCCTCGAACAAATGGGATACGCCAAGCGCTCTTGTAAGACATCATTTCGGAGCGATCTCGGATGACCTCCAAGATGGCCCAAGCGCTTCGCTTCAAAATCAGCGTTTCGCTCGAGACATCCCCTAAACAAATCCTTCGAACGGGCCCTCGAAAGCATCTGGTGTCCTCCTCCTCCTCCTCCACCTCCCAGTGGCGGACAACAGCGACGACGACAAATTCGTGGGAACCACTGGGGATTCTCTGGAATCCGTGGAAGATTCCTTGAGACATGTGGGGAAAACAGCGTGGCGTGATCGTGGGGGCGGGGGCGATCACAAGCGTTATCGCCCAGATTTCATCTGTAGATACATACATACAAACACACATACAAACATACAAACATAAATACATACATACACATGCATATACATGTAAACCACTCCTGCGCCTTGACGATCAAGAATCGTGCAATAACGCCATGTGGGGCACTTCAACACTGCGAATCGGCGCAACTGCTGCACCATCATAATCCTGAATACTCCCAAAACACCATTCTGGTACGCTGACGATGGGAATACATGAAATGTCTTCAGTGTTTGTCAAAACGAATGCGCACGGCGCTAAGGCGAGAGCCACAATTTAAAAATCACCCGCCCTCAACCCGCGAAACTCTTCCAATTGTTTCAAAACGAATGTGCGCAGCGTTAAGGCGAGAGCCACAGTTTGAACATCAACCGCCCTCAACCCGTGAAACTCTTTCAACTGTTGAGAACAAATGGGCGCGGCGCTAAGGCGAAAGGCACAGTTTGAAAGCCACCCGCCCTCAACCCGTGAAACTCTTGCAAATGTTTCAAAACGAATGTGCGCGGCGCTAAGGCGAGAGCCACATCTTGAAAACCACCCGCCCTCCATCTGTCAAACTGTTGCCATTTTTTACGCTTCAGAATCATCAATGGTGAGGAAGTTTGAGGCTAAACGCCCGGCACGCCCTAAAAATTGGCCTCGGGGTGCGACAGGGAGAAGTTAAGTGTAAGGAAAAGGAATGGAGGAGGAGGAGGAGGAGGAGGAGGAGGAGGAGGAGGTGGAGGAGCGCGCCTTTTACGATTCGAATGCCCATGAACGTTCGCTGGCCCCGAGCCTAGGAGGGCGTCAACTGGGTACAACTGCAGCGATCCTGGGCAGGCTCCTCCTGGGCCCAGGAGGAGGGGGAGGAGGAGGGGGAGGGGGAGGAGGAGGAGGAGGAGGAGGAGGAGGAGGAGGAGGAGGAGGAGGAGGAGGAGGAGGAGGAGGAGGAGGCGGAGGAGGAGGAGGAGGCGGAGGAGGAGTTCCCTTCTCTCCTCCCTCCCCACCCCGCCAACAGGCCCGCGCTGGCAGCCCAGCACAGTCCCAACATGAATCGGCATCGCTCGGGGGGGAGGACTCTCACTTCCGCCAGCGGGGCCGCCCCAATGTTGCTGCCGCCGCCCTCCGCCACTCTGCGGCGAGGAGGAGACGTCAAGACCCGCGGCCCTCGAAAACTACGCTCTCTCGGGGGCGCGCCAAAACAGTGTCGGTCAGGCAGGCTCCTCCTCCTCGTCCTCCTCCTCCTCCTCCTCTTCCTCCTCCTCTTCCTCCTCCTCTGCACTCTTTTCGGACTCTGGCAAGACCCCGGCAAGTTTACTTGCACGGAGGGTGGACGATAAGTAAACGTGGCGAAGCCGGGAAAGAAACCTGGACTTCTCAACTCTATGAATCCACTTGTCCGCGCGTTCGGATTTCGGTTCAACCCAAGCGGTGCTTGCACAGGCGGGGGAGAGGGAGGGGTCGGGGGAGGGGGGAAAGGGGAGAAATGCCATGCACGCAATCTTGCCCCAGTCTAAAGCAAAACGCCCTTATGATATATACCTCTCGTCCCCCTCCTCCCCCAGGCATCGTGCTACCCTGGGCGATGCCAGACAAGGAGCGACGGGGCGCTCCTGGCCGCGGCGAGCCCTGGCCACGAAGATAGATCCCCCGACACCTACAGCCCCTCCCTGAGCCCTGCTTGACCCTCACCCCAGCTTCTGGCATGTATACCTCCACCTCCTCACTCCTCCTCACTCCTCCTCACTCCTCCTCCTCCTCCTCCTCCTCCTCCTCCTCCTCCTCCTCCTCCTCCTCCTCCTCCTCCTCCTCCTCTTCCTCATCCTCTTCCTGCTCCTCCTCCTCCTCCTCCTCCTCCTCCCCTCCTCCTCCTCTTCCTCTTCCTCTTCCTCCTCCTTCTCCTCCGTCCGACGCCCCTCCTCTTGAATGTATACCTCCACCTCCTCATTCCTCCACCTCCTCACTCCTCTTCCTCGTCCACCGCCCCTCTTCTTGCATGTATACCTCCACCACCACCACCCCTCCTCCTCCTCCTCCTCCTCCTCCTCCTCCTCCTCCTCCTCCTCCACCGCCCCTCCTCCTCCTCCTCCTCCTCCTCCTCCTCCTCCTCCTCCTCCTCCTCCTCCTCCTCTTCCTCCTCCTCCTCCTCCTCCTCCTCCAGGTCCCCCTGCCCCTGCCGTCCTGAGGGGGGCCCGCTCGCTCGGCCGCTCCGCGGGCCGCCAGGCGGCCCTGATCGACTCCGTGAGGGTGTAGCCGGCGTTGACGGTCCTGATCCTCCCCGACGAGTGCATCTCCGCCTGCGGCCGCCCAGGAGGACTGGACCCCGACACCCCTGCGTCCTCGCAGCAGGGACTTGGCGCTTTGCGCATGAGAGTGAGGGGGGCGAGCGGTGTTACACCATGCATGGGCGCGTGGGTGAAGAGGGATTCCGTGGCCCTGATTCTGCTTGCTTGTGGCTTGTTTCTGCTGTCGTCCCCCACGCGGCCTCCCGCGAAGCACCCGCGACCCACCTCGCGAGCGACCCCGCGACCCACCCGCGACCAACCGGCGACCCACCACGCGCCCGCCCCCTCACTCTTATCCGCAATTGCGTGGTGCCACTTGCCCCTTATGACGGGGGCAGTGGGTCACTGGGCCGCTCCTCCGCCTCTGGCGCTGCAGGTGCAGCGCGGAGGTGGTGAAGAACTCACAGGCAGCCACGAGCAGGCTCAGTTTGCATCGAGTCCGTGCTTGTCATCGTAGCTCTTGGAGAAGAGGGAGACCAGAGGAGGAGGAAGAGGAGGGCGAGGAGGAGAAGGTGGAGGAAGCAGGAGGAGGAGGAGAAGGAGGAGGTGGAGTAGGCAGGACGAGGAGGAGGCAGGAGGAGGCGGCAAGGAGCTCCTCCTCCTCCTCATCCTCCTCCTCCTCAGGAGGGCGAGGAGGAGGAAGTGGAGGAAGAGGCGGCGGCAACAAAGCAGGAGGCAGGAGAGGAAACATGCCATCCCGGGTGTGGCGACGATCGAGGCCCGCCAGTGCACAGCGAGGCCCGCGCGAAGCACGACGCCCTCGGCCAAGGGCGACGGCCGAGCCGCTGAGTGCTCGACGCGCCAGGCACTCGCCGCGACGGCTCCCGAGGAGCTAAGGAAGGGCCCCTGCCAGCTCGTCTGATGTGCCGTCTCGGGATCTCCTCCTGCCTCGCCTCCGCCTTTGTTGGACATGAGGGCCCCTTTGGGCCAAGAGCCGGCCGAAAAAAGAGAGGAAGATAGCTGAGGGGACACCGCGAAGCAGTTCGAGCGACAACATGCGGCATCGCACAAAATCTCCAGCGTGCGCGCAGCGCTCCACAGAGGGGGAAAGAAGACAGGAAGAAGAGGAGGAAGAAACGAGGAAGAGAAGAAAGACGGATCAATCAACATCGAATGGGGGCATCGGGTCGAATCGGACAGTTGCGTCGGATCGGGCTGCCTCGGCATGGAATCGCAAGGGCTGCGCCAGGGTGCACAGCAGAACCGTGCAAACATCTGGCCGCATCGGATCGCCGAAGCATCGGGATCGACGCGGATCGAGCCAAGCTGGTCTGACATTGAATCGGATAGGTCGGATCGGCATGGAACCTGAAGAGTCAACCCCGGTCCCGCTTCCCTCCCCCCCTTGTCGAAAAATATCCGCTGCGAATCCGCGGGGCCGAGGCGGCACGTCGAAGGAAGAGCACCAACCCATCTTCTCCGCGGTGCCTGCCCGCATCACCCCGCATCGCCTACGCGGAGCACGCACCGCCCGGGGAGGACAAGGAGAAGTAGGATTCAGCCGAAGAGGTGGGGGAGGACAGAAAAGGCCCGGAGAAAGGCGGGGTACGCAATTACCGAGGCCGAGGGTCAACTGCATGAGAGAGCAGATGAGTGAGACGAGGAGGGTGGAGGTGATTGGGAAGGCAAGGGACGGAGGAGCTGGGGGGAGGGGGGGCGAGGGGGGGATGCCGGCGCGGAGCGAGGGGAGAGAGATGAGAGCGGGGCAGACCGAGGGAGAACAGGTAAGGGAGGAGGGGGGGAGTGACGGAAGGGGGAGCTTCAACTGAAGGAAACATGAAGATGGGAGGGAATGGAGGAGTGATGAATTGAGAGAGGGCGCTGTAGTGAAAGAAGCCTTCCCCTTCAGCAGCACGATCATACACTCGCCGTCATAAGCAAGCTGAACTATTTCCTGCCCTGGCATGTACGTACCTGAGACAGACTAGAAGGAGGAGTACGAGGCGGAACAAGCTAGGACTCAGTGTTGGGATGGCACGAACGAGGAATGGGAACGAATAAGGGGAGACGGAGGAGGAACGGGAGCAGGAGCAAGTGGAGTTGGGGCTGGGGGTAGCAGCGCGAGAGAGGAAGGGGGGAGAAGGACGCCGACGAGCAGGAAGCCAACGGGGTCGGAGGCAGAGAACCCGGAGGAGAGGAGGGAAGTGAACGAGGAGGGACGGGGAGGGGCCAGAGCAGAGGTGCGAGAAGGAGAGAACGGAGCGGCAGGCCCCGCGTCCTCCACCGCCTCAGTCCAACACAGGCTCCTCGTCCCTCCTCTCCCTCCTCACGCTCCTCCTCTGCATCCTCCCCCCATTCCTCCCACCTCCTCTTCTCTATCAGCCCCCTCCTCCCACCTCCTCCCGTCATTCCTCCCACCTCCTCTTCTCCATCAGCCCCCTCCTCCCACCTCCTCCCCTCATTCCTCCCACCTCCTCTTCTTCATCAGCCCCCTCCTCCCACCTCCCACGCCGGACAGACCGATGACCCTCCGAGTGTGCGTCGGCACCCACGTGCGCCTGCCCACCCAAACCCCACAGGGCGACGCGGGCTGCGCAGTGAGGGCCGACACGGGCCTCGGCAGGCGCAGACCCCAGGCCCAGGATCGCCTCGGCCAGGATCGGTAGGAGTGTGAGTTGACGCCCCCCGAGGGAGGAGGAGGAGGAGGAGGAGGAGGAGGAGGAGGAGGAGGAGGAGGAGGAGGAGGAGAAAAGGAGGAGAGGAGGAGGAGGAGGAGGAGGAGGAGGAGGAGGGGGAGGGGGAGGGGGAGGAGGAGGGGGAGGGGGAGCGGGGTAAACAAAGAGGGGAGGGGAAGAAGGAGGGACAGGAGAAGGGGGGGGGCAGAAGAGGGAAGACAACCGACCACGCCCTGTGGGACATCTGTTGTGTATGCCTGGGGCCAGGTCTGGAAAGGGGGCGGAAGGAGCGAGGGAGACACATTCACCTATGCGGCGATACGTCTTGGCGGGTTGCCACAAGCACCGCCAGGAAACAAATCTGACACGAGTCTCAACGCGTTGCGCGGCCTGCATTCAGGGACAAGAGCTGGTGCCAAAACCTGCCTTTCGGGCACTCTCAAGCGCGGCGGCGCGGCTGCCCCGTGCGCGGGCCGCGCAGCGCGTGCCGCTCGAGCCGTCGCCACACGCGCCCGCGCCGAGGTGCGCGCCTCGAACTCAAAGCGTCGCCCGCGCAACGCCAGGTGAGAACCCAGTGCAGCTTGAACTCGACAGGGGGGGCGCAAACGAAACAAATGATTGGTTGAAAAGGGTGCAACAACGGAGAAGGCGTCAGGGCAGGGAGTAGCAAGCAGAGAAAAACGGGGGCCACATGGATTAATCGGACGATGCCCAAAGAAAAGCAAACATGGGAGACGAGGGCCGCATGGACGACGGCCCCAAGGGGCGGAAGTGCGGCCTGCTTTTCGCAGAGCTCCACACCAAACCGACCCAGCCAGAATTTGCAGCCGGCGCAAACGTCAGTGCGCACGGACCTCGGCGGGCGCGCACTCCGAGCGGGCGCGGGCTTCGGCGGGCACGGGGCTCCAGCACGCGCAGGCTGCAGCGAGCGCGGACCTCAGCGGGGGCGACCTCCGGCGAGCGAGAACATCCGCAATCGCAGACGCCAGCGGGCGCGGACTTCAGCGGGCGCGGACTTGAGCGGCGCAGAATCCAACGGGCGCAGACTTCCACCGGGCGCAGACTTCCGCGCCGACGCCAACGCGCTGGCGTCGGGGAGCGCACGCTTCTGCGAGCGCAGTCTTCAGAGGTCGCAGACCTCAGCCGGTGCAAAAGCCATAGGGCACGTGCGCTGGCGGGCGCAGGCCTCAGCGGGCGCCGGCTTCGCTGGGCTCGCGCGTCAGCGGGCGCAAGCTCCCGTTGGCGCCGGCCCCCGCGGGGGCAGACTTCAGCGGGCGCAGGCGCTGGCGGGCGCAGTTTCCACCGGGCGCGCGCGTCGCTGGGCGCAGAAGCCAACTTGCGCAGACATCAGCGAGCGCAAACTTCAGTGGGCGCGGACGTCAGTGAACACAGGCTTGACGAGGCGCAGACGCCAGTGGGCGCAGACGTGACTTCCGTGGGCAAGGACACCAGCGGGCGCGGGCTTCCTCGGGAGGGCACGTCAGCGGGCACAGACGTCCGCGGCGCAGACTTCCGTGGGCCTTCAGCCGATCGCGCGCAGGACCCAGGTTGGCGGAGATTGCGGGGTCGGCGCAGAGGGCGCGTTATTCTGGACAAAGAGGAACGAATCGCCGGAGTAAATTGCTTGGCTGCGCCTCTTGACTCGACGACGGGGGCGCGTCGCCCGTTCGAACTGACTGCCTGAGTGCGCGGCCGCTTCCCGGCTTGACTGCGCCTCGCAACTGCCCGAGTGCGCGGCCCCCCCCCGCGTCTCGACTACCCGAGTGCGCGGTCCCTCCGCGCCTCGACAACCCGAAAACGCGGCCCTTCCGCTCCTTCACTACCCAGGCGTGGGCGCAAGTTTCGTCTGAACTGCGCGGGCGCGCCTTGAACGCCCGCGTTGACGCGCGCTGGCGGCCATAGAGGGTTTTCCAACTCGATGGACCCGCATCATGCTCAGCCTGCAAGCCCAACTCGGACTCATCGGCTCCATGACCAACGGAGACGCGGCAGGCCACTCTCGGCCGTTGGGACCACGGCCACCGCCGCTCGCAGCAGGGGCCTCGCTTGTCACGACGCCCCGCACCGGGGCCCCAAGCAACCCCGTCCCGAAATGGGGACCTTCCCGGCCAACCTTCCTTATCGGTGGCGTCGAGAGAAGATCCATCGATGGGCCATTTTGGATAAGTTTGCGTTGAAGCTGGCCTTCGTGGGACCATCAAGAGTGAATTGGTGTTGCCTCAGAATGTGCCAATAGTTATTGCACAAAAGAACGCTGACAGTGCCCAGAAAGGCCCCATATGGCCTCAAGATTGCACAGAATCGCCCTCAAAACGTCCCAGAAGA